GAAACTACTAAGCCGATTTGAAAAATTCTTTTTGCATTAGATAGCTCGTTTGTTGAGGAAGGTTTAATGCAATATAACATATAATATATATTCTATACATTCCATACTAACCGGTAAAACGTACCTAGAGACAGACCCGAGCGCAACGAGGGTGAGTCTCTGGTAAGACGATAAAATGTAAAGAAAAAAGATTTTACGTACAATTTAATGGCTAAATAATATTTATTAATCAATATTATATACCTATATTTCAACTATATCATAAGGGAATATTTTTATTTTTTACAAACCAACAACAAACCGTAATTTGATTTACGCTTTAAATTAGGCAATTTCATACACAATACAGGCCATGCTAGTTGTAGTGAGTTAATTGTTCAAGGATGTTCGTGGGTAAATAAAGGTATATTTATATAAATGCGTAAAATTACTAGGTGTTCATAAACGTGAAGAGTTTTTAGTTATGAGACAATGTGAGGATACTTACGCATAATGCACGTTCGAGTATTTAGTTACACACGATCGTAACAGCTTTTGAGCGTTGTTTCGCTTTTTAATATATGCCTACGCAGTATACACGTTTTGAAACTTAGGAATTACAGCTATTTTTGATATCTATACTAATATTATAAAGAGGTAAAGTTTGTAAGATTGTGAGTTTGTGACGTTGTAGGGGGTAATCTCTGGATCTATTGAACCGATTTAGATGAAATTTGGTATGAAGTTAGACCCTGGGAAGGACATAGGATACTTTTTATTTCGGAAATCATCTCTTCAGGGGGTAAAAATGGTGATGAAAGTTTGTATGGGGAATCAACCTAGGGACGAACCGAGCGAAGCGAGGGTGAGTCGGTAGTTTTAAAATAATTATTATTATGTGAATAAATAATAATTTTAATCTTTTTCAATACAAAATAACCTTAAAATTTAAACTAGTTTTAAGATAATTAATATCTTCAAATTCAGAAAAACTCTACGGTCTATGTAAAACTGTCTAGTTTTTTTTTAATTTTAATAACATAGATGCAACCTCGCCATAATACTTGGAATCCTTGTTGGTCTTCATGATAATTTTTTTTTATTTTCTAAAAGAAAAAATTTAAAGAACTTTAAAGACTTTCAAGACCTATCGACAGAATGAATAACTAGGAAAACAGAATACAATAGGCGATGGCAATATTTACATTTCACACCCCATACCCCAACACCATCCCCCTCCTGTCCACTCACGCAAATGCACTGGCTATGACAGAGACAAAACCAATAATAATCATCCTGCTCTTATTGAAATTGAAAGCTTTTGACCACGTCCTACAGCGCATGCACAAACATTGCTTCACTAAAGCTTAATTTAGGAAATATGTTTAAAATAATAACGTAAATAGAAGCCTTATAGTTATTTTTTATGTAAGACATATTATTTTATTTATCAACAAGCAACACATTCAATTTAAAAAGCTGCAATTGAAAGCACAACAGCTATAATAAGTATAAACATCCTAACTTTGCAAAAGCTCCGACAGATGGTGTTGAACGTTTTTAGATCACGCAAGCGTTTGGTTCAGCCATAAACTATAAGGACTTTTACTTTTCCTCTCACTTTGCATAGTAAAATTTAGAAATTTGGTAATTTTTGTAGGTGGTTGCACGAATGTATGCAACCATCTTTAGATAAGTTTACAAAATTGAAAGTTCAAAATATTAGTTTTATTTAAACTAGTGTGAAACTCACTGAAGTCCTGCTTAATGGCTGGATCGATTTTGATGAATTTTTTGTTTGAATTGGTTTAAATGGGTGGTTTAAAAAAATACCATGGCCCAGTAAGTAGCGCCTGGGGTCGGGTTTTAGGATTATATGTGAGGAGTGCTGGGAATACTGAATATGATAAGACAAAGTTACTAGTGGACACCTTTTACTAATTATATTTATTATTAAAATATAAATATATATATTAAAATTGACCACCAACTTTCATTGTGGTAAATAAATTACATAAAAATAAAAGCTTCAATGTACTCGTATAACTGATGACAGAAAACTTCGATGCAACGTTACTAGCAGCGCATAAGCTATAAGAGGTATTTCGATTTATCTGGCCAACGTGCGCTCCTGGAGCTCACATCGAGTACACTGGAGTGTATTTCATACGTAACAAAGTGGGCGTGGTTAGAGCAGTGCAATATGCACTATTATAATACGTGTATACTTATAAATGCGAATACTACAAAGGTTTCATAAAAGCGAAGAGTTAGTAACTCAAACTTTAAAAAGCTTACGGTATCTCTAAAGAATCGCTTTGTTTCGATCGATCGCTTCGCTTCAGCTCAAGTACCTTGTGGAATATCAATCAAAAGCCCTAAATCTCGTCTATCCGGCTTCGCTCTCATGGCAAGTGGTATTAATGGTACCCTATATTTTCTATCATGCAATCTATGACCCTGCCAAACTTCATCGAAATCTATTTAGCAGTTTAGGGGTGAAAAGTTAGACAAGCGCATCACCCTCGCTTTGCTCGCTAAAAGTAAAAACTTTGTATGCGACCGAGATTCGAACCTGGACACCTGTGATTGTCGATTGCACCTTGGCCGCTTGACCACAATGCTTATGCCCGAGCGTGCAAATTACCAACCATATTTTGCGTGGAATAATAAAAAAGAAAACTGAAACTCCCTGTATACTAAATTTCATGAAAATCGTTGGAGCTGTTTCCGATATTCAGATTATATTTATATATACAAAAATTGCTCGTATATAATAAAAGATATAGCCAATAGCCTTCCTCAACAACCGGGCTATCTAATGCAAAAAGAATTTTTCAAATCAGATTAATAGTTCCTAAGATTAGCGCGTTCAAACAAACAAACCCCTGCCACTTTCGATATTATATTAATATAGATACTGAGATCTAAAAAAATATATAAATGGAATACCTATTTTAATGAATAAGCTTTAAAAACACTTTATAAAGCTAATACTGAATATACACCTACTAACTTTCAAAAACATAGTTTGGTGTAAAAAGTTATTAAGTCCTTACATTTTCAACTACCCAGTATTCACCAATCATACATAACCATAGTGGCATTCACGGAATAGGTAAAAAATCAATTCTGTGGTGGCATTGCACTTTTATGGTTTTTGAAAGAATACTTCTCAAAATTAAAACAGGCACCGAAAATGAGATCTTATGTAAAAATATTCGCAGCTATCAAATCATACTTTAATATTATAAATGTAAAAGTGTGTTTGTTTGTTTGTCTTTTTTTACGTCGATACAGACGGATTGGCGTAATTTGTTGTGGCGATAGCTAGAGGGCTGGAGAGTGACATCTACTTAGGCTTCTAAGAAAATTTTGCAAATGGTCACCAAATTTGAAGCACTAAAAATTGACTTTATTTTTGATGGTGTGTAATAAATGCTATGCTAGCAGTCTTATAAATCATCTAATTATTACCCAAGTATTATATATAAAAATCAGCTTTTATACTATAACGTAAGTAGAATTATGATTTCATGAAAAGGGTGTCTGGCAAAGGTTTGCCACGATGTTAAGTGTCTGGCATTGAAAGACGTGATTTTTAATAAGATTCTGAAGGTAATACAAAAAATCACACTTTATTCTTTGACGAATTTAGATCGGTATTTAACACACCTTTAGTACCGTGTTACACCTGCCAAAGCCACCATAGCCTGAACTTAATAATGGTCCATCCGTTCTTATCTGTGTTGGGAGCATGTGCTGACAAACTTCCAGCTTTTATAAAATGACAAAGGTCTGGCGTTCACAGGCTCTTAGGCCAATAGTAAATCTTACCTATATAAATAAACTAATCAGAGAATCAGTCATCAAACAAATGTATATAGTTAGATGATGGATGAAAAGGAAATGACTGAATGGATTTCGATGAAAAATACACAAATAGGATATGATCTAGAGTATATTATATATTTAGCCCTTTTTAGCGTCCCACTGCTGGGCACGGGCCTCCTTTCAATAAGAAGACGATCAGGCCATATTCCACCACGCTGGCCAAGTGCGGGTTGGCGGAATTCATGTCTTTCAAAAACTTGTTAGGTTCTCTCAGACATGCAGGTTTGCTCACAATATTTTCCTTAACATACGAGTAAGTACATAATAATGTTAGAAATTTTTGGCACATGAAAATATCAAAGGTGCGAGACCCGCCATTTGAAGCCGCTTCACTGGGTTTTCCAAGCGAACGCGTCACCAATGGGACTTTAGTGATATATAGGCTACTATTAGGTACCTAGGGACGAATTTGAGCAAAGTGATAGTCGCTAGTTCGACTACTATTATTATTAATGCTTAAGTTAACTGCCTCGGTGGTGTAGTGGCTAGCGTGTAGGGCTGCACACCCGGAAGTCCTGGGTTCGAGCCCCGGGTCGGGCCAAGTTTAGTTATTGAGTATTTCTGTATAGTAAGTTTCAGTAACAGCCCAAAGTTGGGAAGTTGGCGGTGTTTCACCCACGTGCCTCGGAGAGCACGTAAAGCCGTCGGTCCTGCCCCTTAAATCTCACTGTTCGTGTCGAGCAATCGTCCCACCGGATTAAGAGAGTGACAGGAATAGAGAGTGCACTTGTGTCTGTGCGTACACTTGTGCACTATAACATCTCCTGCGCAGTTGGCTAGTCTCAATGAGATTGGCCGCCGTGGCCGGAATCGGTCAGGAGAACATCATCATCAATGCTTAAGTTCCTATGTAGAAAAATCCGCAGAAGTATATCTCTATCTCCTAACGTACACTCCCAATAACTATTTTTATTATATATTAAACGTACATAGGCAAATGGAAAATATATTGAAATGGCTGGACAGATTACGATAATACTCAGATCATGATATGGACAACACAGGCTACTTTTAGGCACCCAGAGACCAAGCGAATTAATGGTCAGTTGCAAATAATATTATTATTGTGAAAATCTATTTGTTAGTTTGTTTTTTTGTTAATAAAGTGGTGTATTTTAATGTTAATAATGGAATCTTCAGTCATGTGGATAGACTATGGCTCTATCGCCGTAGATCAAGGTGATCCCGCGGGATGTGATTTTGTTGCAATAACTTTATTATTAAGTCTTAAAAACGTGACTCGTGATAACATAATATTTTATTATAGACGTACATACCACCATGCTCAATAGCATCGCTACAAATTTATATTTTCTTCTTAACGGGATTTGATTGCCCGTTTACAAAAATTGACTTTTTAGTAGCAATAGTTGCAACTTGGTTATCAAACTTTGAGTTATATACTTCCTGTCGGAACGTAATGATAGCGCGATTTAAAAACGTTCAGCGCCATCTATGTCGCCGTCTTGTAAGTTCGAAAGGGGTGAAAAGCGAGTTTCAATAAAACAACCCTTCAATATTATATTCATATCAATTATTGTTTCTCAGTAATTTAAGTTTATTTAAAAAATATAAACAGAATTCATGGGATTCATTAAGTAAACAACAAGGGTTCTTTTCTAAAGGTAATCAAATATATTGAGAGTTGACGCTAGGGGTCTATGCAAATCTGTTTAGATAGATATATAATTGTATATATATATATATATATATATATATATATATACCTACATTATAAATTGATGTATAATATATGATTGATATTTGAAAATTCAATTAGTAATGGACTCTCCATTTTCCTTGTCATAAAAAACAAGAATTATGTAAAATGGCTCTCAAATTATAAGCACACGAGCTCTTTAAAAAATAAATATAATCCCAAAAACCGACAAAAAAACAGAGACGTTGATAATAAAATTAAAAAAAAATACAAAAAATAAGAAAATTCGACTGCGTAAAAAGTGAAATTATCACTATACACAATTTAAATTAAATCGGTTCAGCACTTTTTGCGTGAAACGCGCACATAGATTTGACTAAGTTAATTAGATATTGCTTAGGAGATATACATATACTATTCAGAACTTTCCTGTAGGACTTTTCAAGACCTACAATTTTTTGTATATTGTTTTGATGTTTGTATGTCTTAAGGTTTAGCCAGCGGAAGGTTTCTAGGGAGGACTCGATAAAACTAGTTATTGTATCTTCCCGTTCTTGAAGTCAAAGGTATCCTAAACGTTGACTCGAGTAATAAGTTATCACTTAAGCAAATTTCGTTGAAATCGGTTTATTACTTTTCGCGTGAAACGCGCATATGAAAAAAGACATACAGGCGAACAGCCAATTTTTTTAATAACTATTGTTTTGGGGTCTTTGTTGTGTACATAATACGTTACAAATAAACGAAAACATCTATCCCACGGGAATTGTAACTTTTTCCGGGATAAAAAGTAACCTATTTGTTATTCTGATGTATGACCTATATTATTGTAGTTTTATCAAAATCCTATCTGTAGTTTTTGTGTACTAAGCTGTATAAGTTACTATAGTTTTTTGACTGTCCCACCGGGAACCCTTTAATTTTTCGGGATGAAAAGTAGCCGATTTGTTATTGTCATGTACGAACTATATTATTGTAAGGTTTTATTAAAATCCAATCAGTACTTTTTGTGTACTAATCTGTATAAGTTATTATATTTATTAGCTAGCCCACCGGAACTATTTAATTTTCCGGGATAAAAAGTCTAAGATGTTGCCCGGGGATATAAGATACCACCATGCAAAATTTCATTCAAAGCGGTCCAATAGATTCGGAGATTAGCCCGTACAAACAGACAAACAGACAGAGAAACAAAAAAATTAAAAAAAAATTGATTTGTTCTATTTGTCTTCTTACATCCCCCTGACTCGGTTTTTAGCATTTTTTTGCTATGTACAGACATTCGACCTCTACTGTTTTATTATAGTATAAATAGATTAGACTACCACACCGTAATCTGATGGTTTCAAGTGTTTCTAACTTATCAAAATATTCTTTTAATATTTTGATCGGTTGCCCTAAACACGCGACCTTATACAGAGGACTTATATATGGTGGAGGTATTCAACAGAGTGCAAAGTATTATGTTAATCTGCGGCGCTTGAATAAATCCCAAAATCCCCTGTTTGGTTCCCCTACTATCATAAGAAACGTAGTGTTAATTTCAATACTAAGTAATTTAGGTCAGAGAGATATCTACAAAAAATAACATTCTTTCGCCTGCAAGTCAGTTATTGTGGCCGCCGCATAAAAATCGCAAGAAATCGAGCCTGATAAACTTTGATCAGCAACATTACAAACATACAAATCTTTCTTCTTTATAATATTACATAGTGTAGACTTATAATTTCCACAACATAGAATATACGTATTCTTTAAGTACATACTGACTTTCCCAATCAAATTGTATGAAAACGTTTTAATTTTCCATTACAGCACCTCATAGCTGGAACATAACACGTGAGATGTGGCTAGCTATGCCGTATAACGACACTCTTATTGAAGATCACTTCTTGCCGTTAATGTTAGTCATCGTGCAACACACAGTCAGTGCAGAATGTAACGATTTCGCACAATGCGCAGCCGAATTGAGAACAATGCAGGGCTCGTTCATTGCTCATAAGCACTATAATATACCGTGAGTAAGCAATCAGTATATACTAGCTTTATATGAAAAGCCCACAATATTGTTGATCCAAAGAACCACGTTGGTAGGTAAATGGCAGCAACGTATTGGAATATGGCTAATTTTTACCATCCATAATCAATCGCTTGATAAATAATAGTACTACTACTTGATAAATAATAGTAATCGTAATTTAGATTAAGATATAGATATTGCAGTAGATTCTAAAGGGTATTTACAGTAAAAGGGCACGTCATATCATGTGATCGAGAAATATTGCGAATGGGTCCAGAGTTCGAATGTGAATTAAAGTCCTATCTTATTTACATCTCAGTAAAAACTAGTTATATTTATCAATTGATAATGATTTATATAATATGTTTTTAAAACATAACATATTAAAAGAAAAAAAAAGGTATGGCAGCCATGGCAATTTTTTTTCCCATATCTTGAACGATACTTTCACGGTAATTAATGAAAAAAAAATTAAGTCGTTAGTTTTAGGCCCAACCTATGTCGTTATGTCGTAATTACATCAATATAATCTATACTAATAATAATGAGAGGGAAAACATTGTTTTTTTTTGTATGTTTGTTTGTAATGAATAAACTAAAGAACTATTGGACCAATTTTAAATTCTATCACCTATCAAAAGCTACATTATCAGCGAGTAACATGGGACATACTCGTATTATATAAAAAAAATATTAGAGATCGCCACGAAAATATCAATCATAATTAATCAATATAAGTTAAAATCAAAGTAAGTTTTTAATGGTAAGTATTAAGTGAAACTGAGCTGAATTGCGTTTTTAAATACAACTATTTTCAGTATGCTACTATTCAAGCTGTATGAATTTACTAGCGAATTTAAAAACAACCCTATTCCACGGGATCCGTACATTTTTCCGGGATAAAAAGCAGCCTATGTGTTATACCAGACTATAATCTATCTCTTTGCCAAATTTCCTCCAGATGCGTCCAGCCGTTTTGGCGTGAAAGAGTAACAAACATCCATACAAACTTTCACGTTTATAATATTAGAAAGGAATTAAATGATATAGAGTTCCATTCAAACAAACGAACGAACAAACAAACAAGCAATCTTCAGCTACGGGTCTACCATAAACGAAATTTTATAAATACTAAACAACTCTTTTACTAAGTATCATTGTTAAGAAGAAGTGCAAAGCAATAATACATACTCGTAGTTCTTAAGCAGAAATCTAGATAAATTATAGCAACAGACTAATCTTTAGAAAGTCCGCCATATTGGATTTAAAATTATGTATAACGTTTTAGTTAACGCTTTTATTAATTTCAATGCTCACATAATTTCCATACCATTATATGAAAATCGATTCTTAAGGACTCCAAAAAATCCCACGTTAATAATGTCATTGTCCATCGCATTAGCTTTCTCCATTGCAGCGTAAAGAGGGCATTTATTATATTAGTAACAACAATTTGCAACAAACCTACATATTGTAGAAAACCCTTTGTCAGCCATGTTCAGACCTTGGTGCCAATTGCTAAATATATTATCTTTGCATAATAACAGGTATTCTTTGTATACAAATATAACTGTCAAATAAAATTTCAAAACCATCATGGTAATATTATAAGAAGCTTTGTGTGCTTGTCATGTTGTAACGACTGAACCGATTTTGAGAAATATTGAAGGATATTATAGCCAGAATCAAAACATGCTACTATTTATAGACATATGTACTCGTATCTTAAACGTCGCGTGAGAGAGAAGTCGCGAGCTAAAGAGCTAAAACCCATTCAAAATAATATCTTTTTTTATGCAGATATAGTTTTTGGGATCCAAAAAAATAAAATTAATTTAAAACTAACGACTCGCCCTCGCTTCGCTCAGATTCGTCCCTAGGTCGATTCCCCATACAAAATTTCATCCCTATTTTCACCACCTAAGGGATGATTTTCGGAATAAAAAATCTCATGTCCTTCTCAGGGTCTCAAACTATCTTCTTACCAAATTTCATCTAAATTGGTCTGGTAGTTTTTCGAGTTCATTCGATACAAAAATACAAATCTTTCCGCTTTATAATAGTAGTATAAATGTCAAATATTCGCGTAAATCTAAGAAAGTATTACAAACGAGAACCAATCAGACTATTTAATTATTATTATGCGACTAGTTCAAGTAGGCCAAGTAAAATTCAGTGCACGTGTAACATTATTTATGCGAAAGTTTGTATTTTGTGTACGTTTGTGTGTTTACTCGTTTAAACTGAAACGGCTGGCCGGATTTGGAGGAAAATAGGTATACTGATAGATTATATAGTCTGGAGTAGTACATAGACTAGTGTCAAGCATCTGTGGACGCATGAGCGAAGCAATGCGAACTCGCTAGTAACATACAAATATATTTTCAGATACAATTTTATGATCGGCAACGAAGGACGAGTGTACGAAGCACGCGGTTGGAACAAGGAAGGCGCACACACATTAGGCTACAATAGATGCTCTATGGGAATAGGATTTATTGGTGAGTATTAGATACCACAATATAAAAAATAAACGATCGCCAAACGATTTTAATCGAGCTATCGAATACAACGGTAGCCTAAGAGACTAATTCAAGGCGATGGGTTTAATAAAGTTTTTTTACCGGTCATTCTATAACGTGTCTTCTCGGTTCTACACGACATTGGTGAAATAAATGTCCATTTGCATATTATTTTAAGATTGTATCGGAAGTGTATGTATATTTATATTATTCTTTTACTAGCTATTCAACCTCACTTTGCTCGGGTTCGTCCCTAGGTTCACTCTTCATACAAAATTTCATCCCCATTTTCACACCCTTAAGGGACGATTTCCGGGATAAAAACTATCTCATGACCCTAACCAGGGCCTCAAACATCATCTTACCAAACATTTAAATCGGTTCGATAGTTCCAGAGGTTACTTCCTACAAACAAACTCATAAACTTACGAACTTTATGATATTAGTGTTCGATTTACAAAGCAATTCTTTTTGTGATCGTATTCATGAAATATTAGAACTTTAATGAACAAAAAGTATTTAAATATTTCTAAATAGATTTAATGCCAGAGCTTGTTGCTACTAAATACTAAAAAAAAAATACGTGACGGCGTAAAATGGAATATTCTATAGAGAAAAACTAAAGAATATAAAGTCTATAAATACGCAATTTGCGATATTTACTAGTACAGTATTTATTTAAGTTTGTCAACGTATAATATAATATAGAACCATTTGTTAAAAGCGTACCAAATAAATAAACATACACACATACACTTCAATCGGATAAAAAAAATACAAAATCGCAAGCAAATCATTTATCATATGTAGTAAGTATATAATAGTTAATTTTTTTTTGTAGTAAAAACATTTTTTAACGTTACAGGTGACTACAGAGAGGAGAAACCACATCACTCTCGTGTAACTGAATTACAGTTGAATAGAACTAAAATGTTATTGGACGACGGAGTTCGCAGGGGTTTTTTGAGACCGGATTTCCGTATAATCGGTGCTAAAGACGTACAATTGACTGCTAGCCCTGGCTCTAACCTTTACAATGCTATACGCCAAATGGAAAATTTCGACCACCAAGGCCGATTCAGGAACCTCACTTGTGCAGAAATTCAAGACAAATATGGCAATGTTACCTTTGATTAAGAACTTTGTTGTATTTTTACTATATTGCCGTCATATAAAAGACGGTCACAACTTCGTCGAAGTTGATTTTGAGATATTTGAAGTTTTGTCTTAGTACTTAGCAGTAGTTTATACGTAGTTACGATGAAAATGCTTATAGTATTTCCGGATTCATAAGACTTAGAGCTTTACGAGTAAGACTATGGAGTAGAATTTTTTGCCGATTCCGAATCTACATTTAGGTCATTTTTGATCAAATTTTTTGTTAGGACCTTCTTTATTATGACGGCAGTATATTATACCATATAATATATAATTTGGATAAAACCTTATTTACGAGTATATATAGCTCATTGTCATGTGATTTTTATGAATGGACAATAAATAATAATTGTATTACCTCAGTAATATATCATTTTTGCTTTAAGCTTAATAAATCTATCATATATTAAAAAATAAATAAACGAATGTGTTAAAAAAAAATTTGGAAAACTAGATAATCAAAAGATTACTTTACCAATATATTAATAAAACAAATGGGTATAATTAATTATAATTTTAAACCACAAAAAAATCTTTTCCAACAAGACATAACTGAATCACATTCGCATCTTTAGTATTTCATAACATTTAGAAGAAGACTTTTAAAATATCATATTATATCTTCTTGTTATAATTAATGTATTCCATGATTTTTTTAATGATATTTTACCCAAAGTTTATTTTTAAGTTATATATGACATATACTTTAGATATACATATATAGATATTTATATCAGAAATTAAAAAATACTATATAAATATTTTTAATATATATATATAAGCATAGACACTAAACGTATGGAAATATTTGACAAATATACTTTTTGTTTAGATTTAATTTTATTATAAGAAAAGTTAAACACTTATTTTTTTTAAGGTTTTAAATTTGAGATTTATTTTCTAAAAAGCGTATCATATCAGTTTAGCGCAACATTTTGTAAGGCATAGAGTAAGAATATTTTCTTTTTATATATATAGTTATTTCGTAGTACATTTTATTATATTTTCATTATTACTGGAGTGTTTTATTATCCTCTCAATACTTTCAATAGCCCAACATCTGTGTCACGACAAAAACAAACACTACCATTATGTATCTGTATCATTCTGTATCATCTAAGAATCAATATTCATAATGATTATTTCAATAATTAAAAAAGAATATAACATCACTATGTAATATATATTGTAAAAAAAGCTATTGCCTTTTAATTCTTAGATTTGAATCAATATTCATAATGATTATTTCAATAATTAAAAAAGATTATATCATCACTATGCATATTCTGAAAAAAAAAAACTATTGCCTTTTAATTATTTTCATTTGAATGAATAGTCACAATTATTATTTTAAATTAATATCAATAAAAAACCTACAAACAGATCAATTCGCCATCAACCCACCAATAATAACCACCAATTTATTTGAACGAAATTCATTTCCTTCATATATATATATATAAGGGGTAACAAAACTGAAAACCGATTCGAATAGAAAGCCTCATGTGTTATAATGACTTCGTTTATTAGTATATATATATATATATATATATATATATATATATATATATATATATATATATATATATATATATATATATATGAAATTTATTGCAAGTGTCGTAATATAAGTAAGAGCGACCATCAATCGTTACATAAAATTCTATATCAAATAAAAATACTATTAAGAACTTTAGGAAGGCAGAAACAGGACTCGACTCGGAGTTGTACATTAGTTTAATCACAATTTAAAAAAAAATGTACAGTATTTTATAAACATTTGGCATAAATAATTTGTTCTGTGTAGTACATGAAGAACAAAATAAAATATACTTCTTATGATAATTCCAAAGTTTTTTTTTGTAATTCTGAAAGGCGAAATCTTCTTAAAAAACATTGGTTTTTATTTTATCCATCGAGGTTCTTTTAGGCACTGCATTACAAATTTTGATATAAGAGTTTTTTTTTGTTTGCCAAATTTAGTTACACTCACGCGTCGCACCCGTAGACACGATGAGAACACTTGCACGCCCACTATTCAAATAATACAATATACATACAAACAATCATAATATATTCATATACAGGCAAAGAACAGGGAATGTTCTAATAAATAAGATTATGAGAAAAAAGCAATTTAAAGTCTACAAGTTAAAATTTTATTGAGATCAAAGTATTCATTGAATTATAACTAGGTGTTCATTTTTGGACAAATCTTCTTAACCGGTTAATCACGGACATTCCCAGTTCTATTCGCTTTGGGCATAGATAAAAACATATTTTTAACACGCAACACGCGTTGATTATATGTAAACCAATGTTTGTGAATGCAATCCACCATAGACATAGATTCGTTACCAGTACAAAAAAAAACAAACAAAAAAAATTGACATTCCCTATACTTTGCCTGTACCATGATCAGTAAAAATCTGGACGTGTATGAGATCGGATGCTGTGAGTATCTCAGATTGTGTCTCACGAATGCGATACGTCGGGGTCACATCATAGAGAAAATCTTATGTAAGTAAGTGAATCCGGGCGTAGCAGACTAGTACACTTTAAAACTATACCCAAAACGATCCGGGGATCATTTTTTTTATTATCAACACTACAACATCAATATCCAGATTATTATATATATATATATATTTTCCTCCTATTACTAAAATACGGTTACATGGATTACATGATACAAGCGAACAGTATGCGGATAAGCGTACGGGGGCATATAACGTTTGTTCAAAATTCCTATTGCTCTTTGGAATTAATCATAAATTTAACATAGTGACGTATAACAAACAGTGATAGAAAAATTCATTCGTTCTTACTTATTGCGATACATTCACCAAACTTTTCACTTTGGACATAACCTTCCACCGTCCAATTATAACATAAATACAAAATCAATTGCTAGTTAAAAAGTTTAATAATAAAAATGGTTCTTTAATCGATTACAGCAGTAGTTTTTTTTAACTAAATTTAAAAAAAAAAACAAAGTTAATAAAGTACAAAAAAAATCACAATAACTATAAGCGTAGAAATTGAAATACATTTGTTCTTTAAAATCATATTTCTGTGGGACCCTCCATCTTGGCGGACAGTTAAAAGTTTACAACAGCATAGAAAAATAAATAGGACGTCCAGTTTAAATTCGTTTTTACATCTGAGATATTCTATCACAATTATTCAATTATCGCCTTCAGATTCGCGCACGGTGAGATATTTTCACGCAAATCAAACTATACAACGGCAATAGGGTATATGCGTGTATTTTGGGTGATATATATATAATCTTTATTGCTCTTGAATTATGCCCATATTCATATATATTTTTAATGTAATTTCTTTTTGATTAAAAAAATAATTATTAAATGCTATAAATAGATGTTAAATTCAAAGTAGTTGAAACGAAACGCCATTGGTAAGACCGAACGTGACGTCAAAGTCTATAATAACATAGCCAGTGTTACCAATTTAGAGCTAAAAATTGATATTAATAACGAAAAAATAAATTGTTTAAGCAAAAATCGTAATTTCAGCGACTAAATTGGCAGCACTGGCTCTATTATTATAATCTATGACATCACACCAAGCGCGCCAAAATGACGTGCATTAAAAATATCCGCATCAAATTATTAAAAAAAAATGAACTCAATTTTAACTGTTGAAGCTAATTTTTTTTTACTTTAACAACGATGTAAGCTATTCTCTACAAAAAAAATCACGCATATTCCCTATCGACAAAACTTTACAATCTACGCAATATAAAATAAATAATATTTAGGAAAATAAAATATTAGTAAACATCACGAACAGGCAACACAGATCGTTCGCGAATCTAAAAGCATTCAACAATTGTCATAGCAACTATGAACACATATCATATTGCTATCATTTTGATAAAAACCGGTGTTAAACTGTAATTACTCAACAAATAGAGACACATTACAAAATAATAATCGTAGTTGATTTCACAATTGGCTTCACGATCAGATTTCATATTACACTTCCATCTTTGCATTAACACGTTACTACAACCGCTTAACGTATGTCATGTCAATGGGTACTGCGATAAAATGGCACAAGTCAAAATTTGAAGATTTGCGGTAAAATTTTACAACAATCTTTATATATATATCGATCGTTTGTACTTACTGGAGATAGAAATCTGATATATTTTTGTAGTGAAAACTTCCATAGGCAGGCTTGGATGGGGAGTAAATTCATGCAAGTCGTCATCGACATGGTCACGTGACGTGTTAACGTCAACACTCAGAGTGAAGATAGATGTTAAAACCATATTGTAAACAGTTTTAATTTACTAATTTTAATTTAAGATCAAAAAATTAATTTGAACATCCGAAAAATAACAACTGTCTATTTATAGTTATTTAAGTTTACACTTCTGTCGGCAGTCCTCATGACTCCTTTTTTATCTCAAATATCTACATAGATTATTAATTTGATTGGCAGTCATTATGTTAGATGATCAGTTTATATCGATATTTTGTGATAAATCGACAAAATTTCGAGTTGTGCCACTTCACCGCGCGCCCACTGGTACACAATATATTGGGGGAAATACATGCTTTTACACAATATCGCTAATTAACATAATCTAATACCAATATTATTGCAATAAATATTTTTTTCTCAGTCTTTGGTTCCATTCCAGTACATAGCATAATAAATGCTCTATTCCAATTAATTTCTTAGCTAAATATAAATTTTTGTTCGCAACGGTCGGCCATTTTATTCGGAGACACATATCAAATGAAGTTAAAACCAACTAAATCTAATGCCCTATGAGCTTTTTCATACTTTTTCTTTTTATTGCACGTGTTTACGAAAATCACAGAGGGTTCCAATAGAGATCTCTTAAAACGATAAAAATTAAAATGCTGCCAATCATTTGCTCCCCTTAACAGCCCATTGCCCACGACGAGTGTCATCATTTAAGTTATATTATAGATTCAGATAACTGAAAATTAAAGGCACTATTGACTTGGCATTCATAACTTGTATTCACATCAGTTATTCGTTAGTTTAGAGCTTTAAAAGCTCGTCGTGTACAATATAGAGTATTACATAGTAACATTTTGACGATTCTGTAGCGTTAAAAAATGTAATTGTGAAGTAAACGGTCGCAAGCAGTTATAATACAACTCAAACCTTGATAAGTTTCAATGAAACAAATAAAGGTCAAAGCAGTAACTATGTCAATAATATGATATATATATATATATATATATATATATATATATATATGAAAATATCGTTTACATAAATCGCAATTCGCATTCGCTTTGCATTCGCCACAATCGCTGATATATCATTGTAAGTTATGGAAATTATAAAATTAACGCAAACGGTTGTTTAAAACGAATTCAAATTATATTTACATGGAATCAATCACTTAAAATCTGAATATACCAAAAACAAAAGATCTACATATTATATTATTATAAACACTGGACCGTTACGTTGACCTTATCAATAAACACGTTAGAAAACTTAAATGTAATTCTAAAAATAACTCTCCCGTGACCATGGATGCTGTAAAGCATTCGAAACGTCGGGAACTAAAAATCAAAATAAATCCGCAAAATAATCCGAAAAGATAGTTTTATTTAATATAACTATATTATTTGTTTATGTCGAATTCAATCAATAGAATAAACAGTAAAGGACATACATACACGATAAACCACTTTAACGTCTTGAAGATACTCATATTGAAAGAGTATTATACAAAAGTGTAATAATATAAAGTATGCCTTATTATATCTGGATACGGTACACTTTAAATTAGCTTGATTTTTATACTTTTCCAACACTAATATGTTAGAGGCGAGTTTTTCTTTTTAATGTATAACATGTTTATCAATAAGGCCGTGTACATACGATTGAAATGAGAATAAGGTCATAAAGTATCGTCGCTAGAGAAATCTATGTTAAACAGGTGGGATTTGGTATGGTCTGCAAAAAAAAATATTAGAAACTTTTTTTCGTGATTATATATACATATGTATGTATATGCAAAACGAAAGCTAACATAACAAAGTGGTTTCACCATATTAATAATAATTTAATGATAAAAATCGACTTTTTAATAATAGTTATATAATTTTATCCATATTATTTTGCAGACCGTACTAATATGAGCGACATTTGCTTTAGCCAAACCCTATTATTATTTCAATCGCATCGTACATATAAAGGCCTACAACACACCACATGAAAAGCGAACCAGAGACGAAAATAAAAAGCAATAAACGTTCAATTTGTTGTTTTTAATTTAATATTTAATTTAAACATTGTATTTTAAATAAAACTCTTTTTTCTGATTATTTCGCGGATGTATTTTGATTTTTGTTTCCCGATGTTTGGAATGCTTTACAACAATCATGGTCACGGGAGAGACTAAGGTTATAGACGTCTCAAAGGCGTTATGCACTTGTTACAGGCAGTGCCTACCTACTATTTTATTAAAATTAAATAAATAACATTTATAATTAAAATTATTTATTTTTTAATTTAAAAGAAATTAAAATGTTAAGAATTAAAATCATCAAATCATCAAATATTCCAAGGTACTTTGGTGCCATTTTAAAAATTTTGAAATCATTTTAGTAAAATAGTTGGTAGGCACTGTCTGTAACATTTGTATAACGCCTTTGAGACGTTTTACACCTCAGTCTCTCCCGTGACGATGATTGCTGTAAAGCGTTCAAAACGTCGGGAACCAAAAATCAAAATAAATTCGCGAAACAATCCGAAAAGCTAGTTTTATTTAAGATGACCAATAATCGCATAGTATATCTAAGAAAGTATTATGTTTAAACTTTGTATTTTATTATTGCTTTAATAATATTACATACTTGTTTCGCTCTCTATGCAGTATACTAGAGACCTGTAGAGACCTTCAAGTGCTATGTGCTCTCCGAACGTACAACCGCCAAAGGAATGGTGTCGGGAATTTTGAACAACGTGTATGCGAAAAAGAACCTCACAAAAACATAAAAAAAAAAAAAAACAAGTTAACAAGCAACAAAACTCGGTCAACTTTGATATGTTTCTCTATCGTTAAAAACTATAATAATTGATGATCGAACACTGTTGATTTGTTTCACTTAAACAATTAAGTTTTTAAATAATTCCTAAATGCCGCTAAACAAATGGTCAATCAGTCTCTCGTGAATACAATGAGGGGTAAACTATACAACGTGAAGGCACTCTCGAGAAGCTCTATATATATATATATATATATATATATATATATATATATATATATATATTTCGATACAACACCGAAACAAGCAAAATCAAATGAAATGGGACTAATTAATTTAAAATACATTACAAAATGGTGTGTGTCAAAGTATTACATACGGAGTGTGCCGCGATTGTTATATAGTTTACCGTTTAGAATTTGAAATCAAACCTAGGATGTTTACCTACGTAGCAGTATATAGTTATCAGGCCTTCGCTGATTCTTCGTGTAGTCTCACTCGGCTAGTTGCTCTGTAAACAGACAAACAGTACTCATTTATATATTTAATAAAAATAAAATTACATTCACGTCTGTATATCCACTACACTACCTGCATGTATATTGTGAGCAAATAATCAAGTATACAAGAGTATAATATTTATATTATATTAGCAGAACCCGCGGCTTTTTAAAAAGGTAGTTGGATACAAACTTTCATTCCCTATTTGACCCCCTTATAGGATGAATTTCGAAAAATGCTAAAACACGTATTTATCAAATTTTATTGAAGAGCATTAATACCAAGTTTCAAGTAATTTTGATCATAAATATTTTTTGGATTGTATTATAACGTGTTTTGCCGAAGGAATTAGATCATCTTCCGCGATAAAAAGCTTATGTCACTCTCCAGCCCTCCAACTATATCCACGCAAAAAATCACGCCAATCCGTCACTCCGTTTTGATATGGAAGTACAACAAACAAACAAACAAACAAACAAACAAACAAACAAACAAACAACAAACACACTTTCACATTTATAATATTAGTAAGGATTGATAATGGACTATATAAAAAAATGGGTGCACGTACCCTTTACGCGCGGTTTAAGTAAAACTTCTTTGGCAAAAAATTAAATAAGGCATATTAGGCATATTACAATCATATATTTATAGAATATCATTTAAGGAAAGAATATAATATTATTTATCATTTGTCAGACAGTAACAACGGTTACCATGGCAACATGGCAATGTATTCTATCTCATTCTGTCGCCGGCTTAATCGTTTATATTTATGTGTTTGTTTTTCTCGTGTCGCATTTCCAACAACAACATTATTCTTTTCAAAAAAATAAACCCCCAGCCAACGGTGTCAAGGTCTCAAAGGCCTGTAGTAAAAAAAGAGAACATTAAACAACAGTAATTAAAATCAATCAACCCACCAGCTACAGGTCGCCGGGGCCTGAACCCGCGGCTGCCGTCGGGCCCGCGCGGGGGCCGCACGAGCACCACGCGAGGGCCCGGCTCGTCTAGCGAGATGGTGCGTAGACGGGCGAGCAGACGCTCCGGCCGCTCACTGCGGGCTTTGGCTACCGGTTTGCTCCTGGAATTGATAGGGTTAATTAATAATCTATCTGTATATAAATATTATAAGCTAGCGATGCATCCTCGCTTTGCTCGGGTTCGTTCCTAGGTACCTTTTAACGGTTAGTATGGAATATATAGATTATACATTATATCTTATATATTTAAACGAGCTATTCTTGTATATATATATATATTATATATATATATATATATATATATATATATATATATATATATATATATAATATATATAGTATATTATATATATATATATCTCAATATATAATCTGAATCTCGAAAAACGGGCTCCAACGATTTTCATGAAATTTAGTATACAAGGGTTTCGGGGGCGATAAAATCGATCTAGATTAGTCTTATGTCTGGAAAAACGCGTGTTTTCGAATTTTCATGCGGTTTTCTTTTGCATTTTTCACAATTTTTGCATTGTCAGTTGTCACTTCTGGTGGGTGGGAGGGCGCCACTATACAACTGTCAATATCGTGTCCGTATTTACATCAAGTTTAAAAATATTTAAGTGGAAATAATCTAAAGAAAATGATAAATTCTAATTAGTTAATAATAATTTTAAGAAATATTAATCTATAAACATCACAAAGTCTTGATGTGTTGAAGAACAAATGAGCTTTTAAAAATTCACCTACCAAACAAATACAAAGTGAGAAACCATAACATACAGATACTATTAGTGCAAAACAATCTTTTCTGTGTGTGATGACAATAAAACAAAATAATTTGTGAAGTGAAAGCGTAAAATATTAAAACATAAGTTTATAACCTCAAAAACTAATACTCTGTATAAAATGCAATTCAACTAGGTATAATTGGTGCTCTTTTTCAATCAGCTTTTCTACTTCCGACTTCACACTTAAGATGGAGGAGATAAAAAGTTGCTAATAAACATACAACAAGAAATAAGACAGCAGAAAACAGAAATGTTAGAAATGAAAGAAGACATTAAAAATACAATCAACAATAATATACTTAAATGAGAAATTTAAACACTTAGAAATAAAAAAATCCTCAATAAATAATTTAGAAAGACATATTAGGCGCAAGAACTTGGTTATGTTCGGAGTAGAAAAAGGTGAAAAATCCTATCATGAACTAGAGGAAAAAATAAAGTCTTAAACAAACGCAAGGAGTTACAAGCCCAACTGAAGATAAAGAAAAAGACCTAGGCAAAACAGCTTTCATTAAATATGACAAACTAATTATTGTGGATAATAATAAGAACACTTCCCGCCAATACTCAAATAAAAGAAGTCTGTCTGTATCTTCAGAAACGCCTTACCTCAATTATAAACAAAAACTAACAAATAAACAACATACAAAGAAAACCAAACCTGCTAATATTAAAGACTTTATATTACAAAAACCAAAATTAACTTTCAACCACACAATTGATAACCAGGAAGAACTAAAAACAACACAGCAAGATACAGTATATTAAACACAGTAGGAACCTCCTCATTTTTATCCCCCAGTACGGCCGGTCACTGTGGGCGAGTTCGACTGTAACCCTCCAAAGAAAGACAGACATACAAATACAAAGGTAATACATATCTTCACCAGAAAAACTTCTAGAATTAAAAGCAGCATTTCCTACAACAAATCAAAAGAACACAAAGATAAAATTATAAACTTTATAGGCATATCAGAAACAAATTATAGTATATTGGAAACAAAATTTGAAAAGAAACCCTTTGCAATCATACAAGCATAATCTCCAACGGAGAGCTCTATGCAGGACTACTTTGGAGGAGGCTTTTAACCGAGAGGGGTCTATACATGAAAAAGACATTTACTAAATAAATACATTTAATTATGAAATTAAATACCTAATTTATAACTATTGTCAGAATTAATGTATGGAAAGAAATTTTATTTATATGTATTATTGTGAAATGTTTAGTATTTACTCAATTGAATTATTTAATTTACTGTCATTGTTTATTTATTTGTTAATGATAATTTATATATATACAATATAATTTCAAATAATATTAAAGATTTTCAAAATAATTTAATTCCAGATTACAAAATTATTAGTTAAAAAATTATAAGTTAATAAATAGTTACTAAATTATATAATTTTATATTTCAGCAATGTGATATAGACATTTTTTCTGATAGTTTAAATTTATTTTAAAAGAAAGTGTATTTAAATATTTAGATTAGTTTTTTTTTCTTCTTTTATTTATTGTACAACTAAAATGGCTCCTTATATACTTTTAACCAAATAAAATTTTAATGGAATACTTTTATAAAAAGCTGTGCATACTTTTAAATTAAATTTATATACAGATAGGTAAAATTATAATGTTAAATAAATGTTTTTATGTAAATTTAGTTAGTAAGCCTTTATAATAAATAAATGAATAAATAAATAGAGCTTTATTATTATTATGATTCCTTTTGCATTATTTCAATAAATTAATAATTAATAATTCCACGCAAAATATTATGTTCGATAATGTCGCATGCTCAGATATAAGCATCATGGTCAAGCGGCCAATGCGCAAATTTGACAACCACAGGTGTCTGGGTTCGTATCCCGATTGGACACAAAGTTTTTAATTTTGTTTTTTTTTGTAGTTATTCAAATTCTTAGTTTTTTTTTTTTAACGTTTTTTTTTGCCCAAACACTCCGAGCAAGGCTCGGTCGCCCAGGTACTATTATGTGAGTAGTTGTGTGTGGTATTATAACGTGTTTTCCCGTGGGATTGAGATTAATCTCCGGGGTAAAGAGTAGCCTATGTCATTCTCCAGCCCTCCAACTATCTTCACACAAAAAATCACGCCAATCCGTCACTTTGTTTTGACGTGAAAGAAAGGCAAACAAACAAAGTCAACTAACTGAATATTGTAGAAAGAGAAAGTATCAAATCTACAAATGCATTCAGTTATTAGTTTATATTAATTTTAAGGCTGGGTTCATTGTAATTATTTAATTATACTATAATAATAGTAAGAAAAAATGTGACTTTTACGTTTTTCAGCGAAAATATGCCAATTTTTCTTTTCATAAGAACCTTTCTCGGGCTTCAACGAAAATTTGAAAAAAATAATTAGCCGAATTGGTCCAGCCGTCTTCGAGTTTTGCGCTTAGCAACACATGTAAGCCATTCCTTTTTATCAATACAGAATGTGAAAGTTTGTGAGTATGGATGTTTGTTACTCTTTCACGCCAAAACAGCGGAACGGATCTGGATGAAACTTGGCACAGAGATAGATTATAGTTTGGAATAGCACATAGGCTAATTTTTATCCTAGAAAATTGTATGGTTAGGTTATTTTTTTCGTTTTCGTAGAGGCGAACCCGAGCGAATCGAGGGTGAGCAGGTAGTACTATAATAAAGTAGTAAGTTAGCGAAATCTGTACATGAAATATTTGTTAAAAATAATGACAGTAACGTATTATATACATAATATAGAACCCCAAAACAAAAGTTATTATTTTTTTTATCTGTTGTGCGTCTCACGCAAAAAGTTATGAATCGATTTCAAGGAAATTTGATAAAATGATAACTTATTACTCGGGCCAACATTTAGGATACTTTTTACTTCAGAAAAATATTTCTTCTCCACGGGAAAACACAATAACTGGTAAGTATATAAATGCTTTAAAAAATTTAAAGCAAACCTATATAATGTGTATAAAAAAGGCAGTCGTAGTCCAGTGGTAAGACGCTCGCTTAGCCGAGTAAAGCGGGTTCAAATCCCGAGTATATTATAAAGTAGTACAAGTCGGAGTAAAACGGAAAAGTTTAAGCTTTGCTATTCGTTACTGATTATTATAAATTGTATTAATTATATTTATTTATTCCTATAGGGGTGGCATGATCACTCTGTGACGAAACCGCTTTAAAATAAAGATAAAAAAAATAACTCCACCAATTCAATGAACCTAAACACGATATGACTGCAATATTTTAGTAAAAGTATTCGAGTATTCAGCAGTTTCCAGGTGACGCTGCAGCATCAGACCCATGTTACCATATCACTGCACTATGAATAAAGTAACGGGATACCAAATTTCAAATGGATTAGATCAGTAGAAGTAGTTCATATCCTTTTACCGTCTAGAAAATAGCTAATAGCTTTAAAACAATTTAACATTTATTAAATTCATAAGCTATGCATATGCTAAGACTAACTAACACTTTCGATTAAATAACCTTTCAAACAAAAAACAAAATAAATTAAAATCGGTTCATTTTAATTTAGTGTTTTTTGTTTGACACTGTTGCTCGAGTTCGTAGCTACTTACGTTTTAACGTTCAGTATAGATTACTCAGAAATGAAATATTTTTCCGTCGTAAAAAGTATCCTACATGTTGACCCGGATAACCAGCTATCATTATACTAAATTTTATTAAAATCTGACCAGTGGTTTTCTCGTGATGCGGTCACAGACAGACAGACACAGACAGAAAAAATATCTAAAAACTATAGATTCTTCCTCTGTATTGATAATAATGACTATGTCAATAAGATTTTCCAAAAAAAATATTTAATGTACAGATTCGAACTCAGTAACATTTTATTATACGTATCGATAGACTATAACGGGTTAATTGCAAGATACATTCAAAGTTGGACGTACTTAATTCAAATATGTGATATATGTACGACAGATCGCCATGGAAAAATGACAATTTTATTATTATTTATTAATTAAAATCCACTCACCCGACTTTCACCACGTTGCAGGCGGAAGATTTCCCGTTGCGGGGATTGGTAAGCATAACGAACTCGACCGCGTCACCCGGCTGCAGGTCAGACGGGTTGCCGCGCACCTCGGACATGTGGAAGAATAGACGGCGCGTGTCTTCCGCCTCTAGTGATAGAAAACCGAAACCACCTGCAATATCAATCGATAGATATCGAGTTTTTAAACTATTTTAAACTGTGTGCACAAAGGGGGAGTGACGTAGACACAAATATACACACAAAAAAAATGTTCGGTAAAAAAAAATCATCACTTATAAGGCCTACAATATTAATCAGGATATTTATTTCTATGTTTAATAAAATAGATTAAAATAATTAAATATTGTTGCAACGGCCAAAAAAGTTTTACGATTTTACATTTTGTTTTTATCTACACTACTATTATAAAGAGGAAAGAATTGTATTTTTGTATGTTTGTAACGAATAAATTCAAAAACTACTGGACCTGGACTGGGTGTCCACGTCCACTAGCAATCAAGTAAAGCACTATTATTTTTCAGTTTAACAGTTCTTGTTAGTAATCTATGTATTATAAAGAGAAAAATTTGTTTCTTGTTTGTTTGTTTGTTTGTATCGAATAGGCTCCGAAACTACTGAACCGATTTAGATGAATTTGGTACGAAGATAGTTTGAGACTCTGGGAAGGACATAGGATAGATTTTATCTCGGAAATCATCCATTAATGGGGATGAAAGTTTGTATGGGGAAACGAGGATAAGTCGCTAGTATTTTATTATGTACATTATAAAATAATAATATGAATATTAATATATAACTAAATTATTAAAAAAAAATCAATAAGTTGTAAAAATAAAAAAATAGTTTATACAGTAAATTTATTTTATACGTTCGATCAGATTCCTACGACTGTGCCTTAAGTCGGCTAGCTTGTTCTTGTTTCTAGGTCCCAGAAATAGAACACTCCCTCCGCATCCTCTATGGTCCTCTACATACAATTAATACTTAACAAAGTGCATCCTGTGCAGTATAGATTTTCTCAATGCCGATACAATGTCATATGGTTAACTTATATACGACTGAGTTTTAAAAACCTTAAGAAACGTTTTAGACTAAACTTAAAACTTTAAACTCATCTCAACGAAACAAACGAGTCCTCGAAAACAAATATATAAGTAAATAATATGACATAACACACAGCACCATCTATGTTGTTCCATGGTAAGCTACGAAGCTTGTGTTATGGATACCAGATAGTTGATACACTACACATATATAACTTTAAATACATTCATAGTATAAATATAAACATTAAAGTCTCAAGTTTGTGCGCGAGTTGAACCAGTAGATATTAGAGATTATAACTGTAGATAAAAAAAGCGAGTTCATAGATAGACAAATACATAAATCTTTATATACATATATTAACTGTACGTGTGTATGTCCCGGAACTGCTCCTACACGGTTGGATCTATTTTGAAGATATTTTTTAATGTTTTTGAGACGTCCCCTGGATGGTTTAGGTTTTATTTTTCGGACACGACAACGTCTATCGCTTCCGCTACAGAACGTATGTTTTAAAATACATTGAAATAAACAGCAATTCCTTGAACTTATAATAGAGGTTAAAAAAAAACAATGCTTGGTATTACAAGCGTATTATTATAACAAAATCAGTAGCATGCAATTCGCATCACATTTTAAAAACTCTTTCTATCTTACGATTCTACAATTTCAATTGCCCCATTAAGGATAAATATTAGATAGATTAGTGATAAGTAAAAAATTACTATGAAGCACGAGCAAGATGCTAATGACAATGCAATAGAGACATCTGAAGCTATTCAACTGTCAAGTATAAGGACATACAACTGAATAACATACAATTACACTGTCCTCACAACTTGATTACGAGAATATTGCCAACTCATAGTACTAAGTAATAAGTGGTAATCATATTGGAAATGATTCGCACATGAAAATATCAGAGGTGCGACAGACACCCGGGATTTGATCCCGCTGCACGAGCGAGCGCGTTACCACTGGGTTACCACTGCTTATGCAGTTATTATAAAATGACATTAAAAATCTTTAGTATGTATAATTCTTTCTATTTTAATTCAAGGCAACATACTAAATGTCTCTCAGTATAGTAATATTAATATCCATCCTCGATACTTAAGCCCTAATGACAAAAATCCTGCAACTCACAACTGTAGGTATTGTATGAAATATTTTCTATTTTAAATAAAACTATCTTTTCGGTATTTTCGCGGATTTATTTAGATTTTTGCCGTAAAACATTTGAAACATTAGGACTAAAAATGTTAAAAATTCGCGTATATCTAAGAAAGTATCACATACTTTCTATATAAATAAAAATTCTAGTTTCTTTATACGTTTGTCCTTTATGCGTCCCTAAGCTATTCATCCGATTGTGATGAAACTTTGGTGATTTGTAGTGCGTACGGACGTAAAGTTTACTCGCAAAAAAAATTATTTATATGGTTATACTCTATGTGTGCTTAAGCCACTTATCCTTAGGGACGCACTCGATTAATGCGAATGACATCGCTAGTACAATACATTCGACTACAGTACATATTTACTTAAATACTGAATTACAGTAATATTATATTACAATACATACATACAATAAAAGTAATATTGAATTACAGTAAATATATAAAAGTGTTAAGAGCCAATTATTATTATTATTATTATAAAAATAAAATTCAACAAAACACTCGAGAGTACACGTGTACGATCCCAAACTAAGGAAAACATATTAATTTCAACACAAGTTACTTGCTCACTTTATCATGTAATCAATATCTCTACTTACACAATCACCGCCGTCCGTCTGATTTTTGTTGAATAACAAATGGCAAAACAACAAACGCTTTAGCATCATTCATCAATACAATAACTGTAGAAAAAATTAAGGAAAAAAGCGACCTAACAAAAACGCTGTGTTAATTTCTACATCAATTTTACATTTATAAAAATTATATATTTTATATGTTTACAAACTAAATTCAAGCAAACAAAGCTCTTGGAAAAAGGTTGTATTCGACATCAAATTATTATAATTACACATATTAACTATTGACTGAACGAGTTAATGATATGATGAGATACCTATTGTTAAAGGCTGCCATTTACATAATTTAAACACGTAAAAATGTGTCGGTTTGTTTATCTGTTTTGCAAAAAACTACTCATCCGATTGCGATTAAACTTTAGTGATTATCCACGATGGTTTTAAGGTAAAAGTAATTTTATTAATAAATAATTATAACTAACTAGCAGTACCCGCGGCTTCGCCCGCTTCCAAACTTCCGATCGCTAACAAAATTAACAGGATCACTCGCTGGCTAATTTGAAGATTACCTGAAAATGTCATCAAAATCGCTCCAGCTGTTTTGGAGTCCATAGGAAACAAACAAACGAACATCACTGTTTGTTTTAACTTGTTAAAATACACCATACAAAATGCAACCTCCCTTTCCACCATCTTAAGGAATGATTTCCGGGATAAAACCTAACTTATATCCTTTCCACGGTCTCAAACTATCTTTACACCAAATTTTATTCAAAATCCGTTCAGCTGATTAAGCGTGAAGAGTTAACAGACAGACAGAGTTACTTTCGCATTTATAATATTAACATTAGTACATATAGTTGATTCCCAAGTAGGGTTGATGTCAGGCAGATGGCCGGTCATAAAACTTTTGTTAAAACCCACCAGCAGTACGGAAGATGTACTGCGCCGACCCCGAGTCATTGGGAAATGGGCAGGGAGATGATGAGAGATCTATAGATACTAGTGATAGTCCCGTGGTTGAAATTCGACCATAATTCATTAAGTTTGATCGATATTGAGGTTCTTTTTTAAAAGTTATATAAGTTCAGAGATTTGCACGAACAGGCAAACGAATTTTTCATTTTTATATTATATAAGTAAGGAAATAATTATAACTACATAAATAAAATTCGCGAGCGGATTCACAAGTAAAATAAAGTCACCAATTTTTTGCTTTCTGCAGTCCTTCTCTATATAAACTTTAACTATGTCAACGCTCATCCTCCTCGGTACATGCAAAATGCTCAAAAAGGGTTCAATTTTTTTGCTTCACGAATTAATATATAGATAACGCAGTGGTAGCCCAGTGGTAACGCGCTCGCTCGGAAAACCGAGTGAAGCGAGTTCAAATCTCGGATCTCGCACCTCTGATATTTTCATATGAGAATCATTTCCAACAAGATAACCACTTGTCTTACGGTGAAGAAAAACATCGTGAGGGAATCTGCATGTCTGAGAGAATTTAGCAAGTTTTCGAAAGCCCGCCAACCCGTACTTGGCCAGCGTGGTGAACTATGGCCCGATCCCCTCGTATTGAAGGGAGGCCCACGCCCAGCAGTGGGATGTTAAAAAAGGATATATATATATTAATATAATACTGAATACATTAATATATTTATATATAGATAAGTATACCTTTAATAGCATCAACTGTAGCGCGTCTCTTCTTCCTCACGGGAACGATGTTCGCGGCGCGTCCCTGAACGTCCGCTTGGAACGTGACCGGATCGCCAACTTGCAGTATCTCACGCTTGCAAGCTAGACCCATTATACCGAACTCGTAAGACGAACCGCCCTCCGTTTGGATGAGACCTGTGTTTGTATTGATAAATAAATATAAATTTAGACATTAACACACATCACCATCTAGCTACGAGGCTTGTGTTTTGGATACCGGATAGTTGATACACTACATATATGTATCTTGTAATATATACTTTAAATACATACATCTATACTAATATTACATAGAGGTAAAGTTTGTGAGATTGTGAATTTGTGAGTTTGTGACATTGTAGGGGCTAATCTCTGAATCTACGGCACCGATTTAGATAGTTTGAAACCCTGGGAAGGACATAGGATACTTTACATCCCGGAAATCGTCCTTTAAGGGGGTGAAAATGGGGATAAAAATTTGTATTGAGAAGAATATTCGTGCTCATCACACAAATGAAAGCCCTCAGCGGGACTCGAACCCGCGACCGTTGGCACAGCAAGTAGTTATGTGTATTTAGTGACATTGATATGGTGTAGCTATATATAAATAGCGTTTCTACAGTTTAATAGATCTTTTTAAGAGGGAAAAATGGGTGAGTGTAAGCTTTACGCGCGGTTGAAATTTCAAATTATTATTTTATATTGTATCATATTAAATACGGCAAATTAGGAATATTACAATCATATATTTATAGAATACCATATACGGAAAGAATATATTATATATTTGTCAGACAATAACAACGGTTACCATGGCAACATGACAATGTATTCTATCTCATTCTTTCGGCAGCTTAATCCTATATATTTATTATTTGTCTCTTTTTAGCATTACATTTCCGTTTCATCGAGTTTCAAATCACAACGATTCTAAAGAAGTTTCACTTCAAAAACCATCAAATTAGAGAAAAAAACAATCCTCACCTGAATACTTAGCCTGATCCGGATTCAGAGCTCGCAGTGTACGTGTCACAGTTCCATTAAGAGTAGGTTCCAAGGGCTTAGCTAAGGGCACACTACCCCTTGGAAGGACCCTCACAAACTCAGCACTAGCACAGCCCCCGCCCGAACCACTCACTCTACCCAGACTGTATTCCACTTCTGTGCCCAGCTCTAGACCGTCCGGACTGCCTTCGAGGTTACTGGAATTAAATTGGATATTTTTTAATAGTTATGTGCATTCGAATAATTTATATTAACCGAAAAAGCACATTTATTCTATGATTTATAAAAAAACAAATGAAATCAATTCAGATTTAGCGAAAACTTCGCATGGCACATAAACATGAAAATAATTCATACTGAATTCAATCTATATATATATATATATATATATATATATATATATATATATATATATATATATATATATATAGAATTCAAAATCCTGGCTGACTGATATATCAACGCTCAGCCTAAACCGCTGGAGTCAGACATATGATAGTAAATTTGGGGGGTTTGGTCTTTGTGTGTAGTGTAGGTATCCACTAAGAAAAGGTTTTCTGAAATTCCACCCCTAAGAGGGTGAACGGGGGGTGTTGAATTTTTTGGTTTCTGGGTATTCTCGAAAATTGGTATAAATACTCTTCAATTCAATGATAAGAAGACACGTGTATTACATTTTTTCTAAAATCATCCCCTAACAGAGTATGCCTCTGCATAGGAAGTGGAAGAGTATGCCCCCACAGCATGATAGAAAGATAGACATGGTAAAGAATCTGTTTCTTTTTTTGTTTTAACGCGAGCAAAGCCGCGGGTGATGTTATAATAACCTAAACCTAGTATATTACAATAGATTTCAAAGGAATGTGTTAAGTTTTCAGTTTGTTACAAGCAAATAGAAACAGATTAATTACATGAAAATACAAGACGCATATAAATTAAGAACATAGTTCACAATCGCTACGCTACCACATGGTAGATCTTGCTTGTATGCGATCTACAAACTGACTGTCAATGTTATCTACTTAGTAGTTTTGCGCGGAAATTGCATCGGCGGTGTAAATATCTAGATTTTTAGTACTCTAATAATGAGATAAACAACAATTGGTTTCCATCTCCTCGTATATATAATACAGATTAGTAACAAAATAGGACAACACACCGGAGCCTTAAGAACACTTTACAATATGGAAGTGTGTCGGTGGCATATAGATTAATATGATTTGTGATGTATATACATATAAATTACTAGCGGCTTAACTTCTCTTTGCTTAGGTTCGTCCCTAATGAAAAATAAAACAAATGATCCCACGGGAACCGTACCGTTTTCTGGGATTAAAAGTAAACCTATGTGCTATGCCATACTATAATCTATCTCTGTGCCAAATTTCATCCAGATCCATTCAGCCGTTCTGGCGTGATTGAGTAACAAACGTCCATACATCCATATATTCTCATTTACATAGTAGTAAGAAGTAAGATCTAATAGTAATGTTTCTATTAAACATCTAAAATCTAAGCATTCACATAGCTTGCATCATAATAGCTATTATTTGTGCAAACGCTACAATTTCATACAAAATACATTATAATTTAAAAAATATAAGGAAAGCCATAACAAAATGAAATCGCTAGAGCACAAACATTCAAAACATGTAATTAAAAAATCATACGTAAAAGTATTACGCAAAACTACCTTTTATGACATGAAGGTTATTTTGAATTTTGCATTACAACATATGAACAGTAAAGAATCTACTAAACCGGTTTAGATGAAATTTCGTAAGAAAATAATTTGAGACCCTGGGAAGGACATAGATTACGCTTTATCCCGGAAATCATCCCGTAAGGAGGTGAAAATCGGGATGAAAGTTTGTATTGGGAAACTAGCTATGTTTCATATGTTTATTATATTTCATATATGTACTTTAAAATAATAAAACGGAAGCGAATAGATTAATTAGAAACAAACGACCGGATACATCGCATTCACAACGTATTTTTAGATGATAATATAGCGTGGGCAGCGATCGCGTATCAAGGCATAAAGCAATTTCCATATAAAGATGAGTGCAAATCTTATATAAGTTATCATGCAATCATACTGTCTGACCATGTCATGTTACAATTACGGGTACATTTGTAACTGCATGTTACAGACTTGACAGATTAGCTAATAATAAGGCTAAACAATTGACAACACGTTAGGTTTAGTTTGTAGTGACCCTACTTGCTGTGCCAGCGGTCGCTGGTTCGAATACCGCTTGTGGCATTCATTTGTGTGATGAGCACGAATGTTTGTACTCCAGTCATGGGTGTTTATATTTATAATATGTATGTATGTGTTGTGCATAAACTATCAGGCATCCATAACACGAGCCTCGTAGCTTACCATAGAACTAGATGGTGATGTGTATTAATGTCCCAACATATTTAAAAAAAACACTAACTCGTTTTAGGTTCCATTTTACGTTAGACTTCATATTATAGTGCTTATTGCATTCTAAAAATTGGCTATAATTGTAGTACGTTGTATAGATTCTACTATTTTGGAAAATCTAATTAAAAATTATTATAAGGTTTAATGAGAAAAATTACAGTTTTAAATGTAAGACGTAAAAAAATCTAATTAAAATGGATTCATAAAACCTACACTAATAGAACGTGCTTGAGATGATTATTATTGTATTCAGCCCTTTTTAACGTCCCACTGCTGGGGGTGGGCCTCCCTTCAATACGCGGGGGATCAGGCCTTAGTCAACCACTCTGGACGAGTGCGGAGTGGGGGACTTTACGTCTTTCGAAAACTTATATATGATTAATAATAATTAATTTATACTTTCGCATTTTGTCATGTTAGTATTAAATTCACGTAAGCAAATATAAAAATTAATAAAGAAACAAATCTATACAAAAAAAAACTTTAAGATCGCTCAGCATTAACATAAAAGAGCATAGCCATGTCAAAAAATATGTACATATGTTAAAGACGAATAAAAATCGCAAGCAAACTATAAACTACACAAATTGAAACTCACACAAGTATTGTACATCTAAGCAATTTTCAATACTTCAATCATAGAAATAGGTCATGGAATATTCAAAGGGTTGTAATTTTCTAATATTTCCACGTTCGTTTCTATGAATTCAATCAATTCAAAGCTACGGGTTGTCTCAAAGATTTACATGATCAATCTAAGGCAAGGTTTTTTCCATACCTTTATTAGCATTACTTGTAACTACGTAATCAAATATTCAAAATCGATTTTAACGTAATTCTAATTGCCGTATCGATTTGAAACTTTGTATGTGAAATTTAGATGAGAAAAGAATATTTCAAGACCATCAAGAAGAAATCTGATGTGAAAGAAAAATAATGAAAGCGACAGTAGGGTAGTGGAATTCTTAAATGGGTAATGGTAAAACCTTTGAGTTTGGAATCATTCTAAGTTCATTCGAGTCCCATGCAATAAAGTTTGCCAAGAGCGTGTCGTTTTAAGTATTAAAAAACTTCATATGTGTAACTGAGTACCAGACATATATACATATAGGATTGTGTTACATTAGTGCGATTTAATAAAAGTCTAACTCGATCTTATTAGAACGTGTATACAAACTGACACGCAAACTAAATATTCGCTTTGCATCAAATCTTCGTTATACAGATGTAAGGAACATAATGCGGATACTTATCTCAAATTGAACGATCCGTGATAATTTTTTTTGAAATTGATTTTTTGTAAAACAAATTAGTGTTGCCTGATTTTGTGTTATAATGACATAATAACTCCGAAACAGAAATGAGACTAAAACTGAAAAGAGCACAGCAACAAAAATCCGAGAAAATTCAAGCGCTGTCCATACATAGATTAACAAATATTTTTTAAGACGTTGCCAATTGTGTGTCGATGTTGAATCTACTTTAATAAATTAATTTAACCTAATTTGTGTATTATTTCTTTATTGATCCTAAAAATAAAGCAAAATAACCATGTTACATATGACTGATACGTGACTAGGGCCCGCCCTCGCTTTACTTGCTAAGTTAAGCCTTGGCTCCTTTAGTAGCTTTTAACAATACACCGATATCACACTCCCACTAAATGTATCCCACTCCCACTGATAATATTTTTACTTATCCTAATGGGATACATTGATTAACTTTTTGACTGATTAATTTTCACTATTAGATCAATTGTTTCGCAGTTTACATAGAAAGTATAATATAATAAATAGGTTTTAATTCCACTGATTTAAATATTAAAGAGGTTTAAATCAGTGGATTTAAATCTCTTTATAATATTAGTGTAGCAAACTTTTATTGGAAGAGTTTTATTTTTGTCTCCATTAGAATCATAACTTTGATTAAAATAGAAGCCCAAATATAAATCTTAACGTAGTTACGTGTGCATTATACATACATACATATTTACTTTAAGTCGCGACCGTAGAACTACATAGAGTTTTAGATAAAACAGATTTACACTACTTCTGGCAGTTTTTGTTTCTTTCTAGTTGAAAAGGAAATTGTAGAGACATCGGAAATTAATTATCGGGGTGCAAAGAAGTGTAAATCCTTCATTATCGGGATGCAGAGAAGTGTAAATCCTTCAGAGGCTAAAATTATGAGACAGCATTTGCGTCATTTTACCAGAAAGTTATGATTGTCTAATATAAACAAATAGATTATATTATAAATTATTTACTTAATAATGTCAACGATTCCAAGGAATTTGTAAAAAAAACAAACCTTGAAAAAGTTAAAGTGATGAAAATGTCTACATATTAGTTACAATATATAATCCCAATATTATTGTATCGAACCTATGACATATCGTTTGACGAACATTTTATAAATTGAGGCTACTTAGACAACAATTTGTCAGATTTTGATGGGGGGCAGAATTCGTAGGATTAATATAATTTACTTTTAATATTTACACGAAAATCGTATACGTCAACCAATATCGCATTTTATCGAGTCTCGTTAATGAATGGCGACGAATAAGCTATTATATCACTTTAAAACTTCATTTCCCTTCTAGAAATTCCTTATATGTAAATTACAGCGACAAAACAAAAACACGTATTCAGACAATAGCCAGCAAGCCTAAAATTTTTAAGAAAAATACATACCTAAAGTGAAAGAAAACTTCCTTATTATGGTCAGCAGTTTCAATGAACCCAAAGCCGTCCTTCAATGCCGCTATGAAGCCTTGCATGATGGGTCGCAGATTCATACCGCCATTCGCATTGCCATTGGTCAAACTGTGCTGTGTCTGTATCGCCATAGCAATTAACTCCTTAGTTCTCTTCACCTGTGAACAATGCTTTTCATTAATGTACAATTTTATACATTTTATAATTTAAACCGTATTTTACAGAAACTGTGTTTTTTTTCTTTCGCCAGTAATTACATTTATATCATAAGTAACCACTCACCTTCGCTACGCTCGGGTTCGTTCCTAGTTATGTTTAATGTATATTATAGATTTCTCGAGATGAGATATTTTCCCGCAGTAATAATTATCGTAAATGTTGACCCGAGTATTTCGCTATCATTATACCAAACATCAAAATCTGTCCAGTGGTTTTCTCGTGATGCGTGAGACAGACAGACTGATAAAAAATCTATAAAGTACAGATTCAGCCTCTGTATCGATAATAATGTCAAATTCAATAAGATTTTCAAAAAAAAAATTAATGTACAGATTTGACTCAGAATTTTAAAGTTTAGACTAAAACACTATGTAAAAAGGTTATGTAAGAACAAACCCACTAGCTAAACCGAAAGCAACCAGAGACACTGTGTTTGCTATTCCTTTTTATCAAGCGTTATTTTTTAATAAATACAAATAGTATTCTACTTAAGCAGCTTACGTGAAGTGGTCTTGCCACTCTCTTAGATCATATACAAATGTTACTGCTATATCTGTTTGAGGATCTGGCTTTTAGATTTACCCACAGTGAATTATTTTTTATATTTCTATACCTTTTTACTTTGGACATTCTTCAAAATCGGAATATACCTTTATGTAATCTAAGAAGGAGTCAAGTCACTATGTACAGCTTACATTGAGTAGAATAAAATAATATTTATTAAAAAATAACGCCACACTTCTAATTATTATATATCTAAGTTTGATTAATGGCGAAAGCAAAAAAAATGTGCCACCGGTCCATACAAATATGTTGTATATTCCCTACTCGTTGTACAATTCAGACTAAATATTTCTCGTAATCAAATGTTAATTGCGAGTGCATTGACGCGCTCAAGTACGTTCAATTTTGTCAATTCTAGTCAAATGTCATCGGAATGTACGATATTACATCAAAGGGTGTCCGTTAGTTTAATTTGAACTGTGGGCAATTTCAAATAAATACATATTTGTTTTATGAGCAAATTTTCGACGAATTAATCGTGAGATAGCCCTAATATAACTATCTATACCGTTGGATATGGAACGATATGGGTGAATATGTATTTAAATATACTTTTACACAAAATTAACTGACCAAGATATAATCTCTTCTAAAAAGGAAGGGTGTTAGGCGGGTGTTCTTAAATATGCAGTGAATTTAATTTATTACTAGACTGTCTTGAAAGGTAAATTTATCATGTTTATGAATACCAACAGATTGAAAAAAACCAGTTGATACATTTCCACATATATATATATATATATATATATATATATATATATATATCACGAGTGTGTATTATATATGGCATCAGCGAAGCAAAACATAAAGTAAAAAGAATATTTTAAATACTATCTTTTCGGATTTTTTAGACAAAAAGCTTGTATTTTTAAAATCATTGTATAATTTTTTCGGTAGATCTTGTCTGTACCAACTATATAATTTCCGTCGACCTTGAAAAACCTTAATCTCTCCCGTGACCATGATTGCTTTAAAGCACTTCAAACGTCGGGAACCAAAAATCAAAACAAATCCGCGTAAAAATCCGAGAAGATAGTTTTATTTAAAATGTCGAATATTCGGGTAAATCTAAGAAAGTATGTATTATGAATAGAATATATTATTATTGTAACAATATAACAAAAGTAATGATAAGTAGCAGTGTTTGTTAAATTATTATTTGCTCGATTTGAATAAATTATTTATTATTGAATCGATCAAATTGCTATTCATTGGATTTATTAATACCATTCATGAGATAATTGACATCATTAGGGTTTCGTATTAGACGAATACATCGTAAATAATAATTATTAGAAAAATCGAACATCGCAGCTTTATATTACATATACGAGTAATACATATAATAAAATTGTAACTAAGCCGAATCTGTACATTTAATATTTTTTGGAAAATCTTCTGAATCTGAATCTATAGTTTTTAGAATTTTTGTCTATCTGCCTGTCTGTGACCGCACCACGGAAAAACAACTGGAGGGATTTTGATAAAATTTGGTATGATGACACCTCGTTGTCTGGGTCAACATATAGTATACTTTTTACTGCGGGAAAATATCTCATCTCTGAGATCTATACTAAACGTTAAGTAGGAACAAACCCGAGCGGAGCGAGGGTGAGTTACTAGTCTAGGAATATTAATAGAGAAAGATCAGAAATTGTTTTTGATATTTTTTTCATATTTTTTTATTTTACTTACTACAAGAGAAGGTTGTGGAAACTACAAACTTAGGACAATCAAAAGCATGTAGGAGCTGTAAACAATGCTTTTAATTAATATAAAATTTCATACTTTTTATAATTTAAACCGAAATTTTACAGGCACTGTTACGTATCAAAAATCATATCATTACTTTTAAAGCAGATAAAATAAAGTGGACATAAAAACGATAAATATAGGTTAACCCAATAAATTCAATCATTAATCCATCGCTGTGACGTGTTTTAATGAAATCTACATAAAATTATTATATCCATATTTAAATAATCCAGAATATAAACATATTACAATATTCCTGTGTATGTTTTTTTTTTTATTTTGTGATACAATATTGTAGCTAATAGGGGATCGATTATTATGTTACTTTTTTAATCCATACTAATATTATAGAGACAGAATTTGTTCGTTTGTTTGTTTGAACGCCTTAATCTCAGGAACTACTAATCCGATTTGATTTTTTTTTTTGCATTAGATAACCCGTTTATTGTGGAAGGCTATGGGCTATATATAATCTTACTACTACCCAAGGGAGAGGAGCAGTAATCATAAATTTCAACAAATCGGGCAGACTTCCATACATTATTGTAAAACTGATGTTTATATCGGAAATTTGAACGCGGGCGAAGCCGCGGGTACTACTAGTTCACATATAAAATTATAGAAAAAAATCCACTTTTATGGCAAAAACTTACAACTTAAGCATTGGTGCCGTTAAAAAGAAAGAAAGCGCACTCACATTGTGTGAGCGCGTAAAGAGAATGACTTGCTAAGAAAAAGTCATTTGATTCTAAGGTTAAGTTTTCAAAAGACTTTATTGTACTATACGAAACTCAAGTCTTAGGTCTAAAGTGCGTGTGTGAAGAGAATGATTACATGTGACAAAAATATGTTATTTGTAACGTTATATATGTATTTATGTATATATTGTATTAAAATTTACCTGGTATATGTCGAAGATGACTTTATCACCGACACGCGGTAACATTTTCGACTCGCACTTCTTGGCGGTGTATGAGATGGATTTCTTCATGTTGTTAATTTGGCAAGTTATTATACCGGTTTCCTGTAACAAATTTACTTTATCGATAAGATAATAACAAGAAATAATGATCATAGTCAAGTCCGATATTCAACATCATATATGTACATACATACAAACATACATATACATGTACATATATGTAATGGCTAACCCGACAGATACTTAAGGCCTAAATATAGTCCGAGTATATATTATTCTCGGACTATAAAAAAAATAGTTCGCTCCAGCCGAAATAACAGTATTCCATTTTATAGTGGCCGATTTTTATTTAAGCATAACATAAATTAATATTACTGTGAACAAAAACCTAGGAATCATACAAACGAACAATTTAATGGGCAATTATTATAATGATGACATACAAATACTGCAACTGCTGCTGCTGCTTCATCTCATCTATGTCACTATTTAATATCTTAAGTCATTGCATTCGTATGGAAAAAGTATAAATAAAAAAAAAACTTTAAGCCATTTAAAAAAAAAACATCATTGTTACATGAACCGAGAATCGAGATTAATAAATTATTAACTTATAGGTTTTGACTCTCATATGAAATCATATTATAAAAATAAATTTCATATTATAAACTTCGCGATATCATTAAAATAAGCTCGTCTGATCTGACCATCGACAACTGCTTTGCTTTCGACTGTATTTCCAACAAACCACGAAACATAAAATATACCTACAATAACAAACATAAATTTATAAATAATAAAAATCTCGAAGGATAAAATGAAATATTTCAAGTATTCGAAGCAAATATTTTTCATTTACGAGAGTTATGTAACCCAACACGTGGGCTATTTAGATCATTCTCGGAAGGATCTTATACTTTTAAGTGTATCGTCCTTTTTAGATATTTCTTAAAAAGATACGTTATTGTAAAGCAATTACGCATAAATAGTTTAAGGCACCTCATTTTTTGTGATGTGAACCAACTCACACTACCGCACTAATGTGCCTATAAAACCTTAGAAAATAAGTTATTAAAATTAGTTGTACTTGTCGTTTCGACGAAAAACCGTTGTTTTATTGCAACCCCGACGCGATGACATAACTCGAGTAATAATAAAATTTTCAACTAATCGAGAGTATCGAGTAATCAAAACATATTTACAATTCAGTCAAATGAATCCGAACGCACTCCAGCAAACTCGTCTAATATATCTAGACTGTGCAACGAAAACGCTTAATAAAATCAAGTGATGTACAATTGTACATCCGTCGCAGTTACCTGTCATTAATAGCCACTTACGATTGGAGGGTCGGATATAGATTTCAAAGGAAAATAATCCTTACAGACGGTATTTTAGAGAGCACAATAGTGAGATCCCGCGAAAGATATTTCGCCGTTAACACAATATTGGAGCGTCCGAATGCAGTTCAACTTTCCGTTCGACTTAATCCGATGGCTTAAACTAAAATTGATTGAATCCTTTGTAAAGAACTGAAAGACAATAACTAAAGGGGGAATATTAGTAAAAATACACTAAAGTTGATTTAAATACATATCTATGTAATACGTTTAGTTTGTTTGTCTACATATTATATATAATCAAATTCTAACTGATTCGAATCTGTACATTAAATATTTATTATTATTATCGATACACAGGCCGAATCTGTATTTTTTAGGTTTTTGTTTGTCTGTCAAGAACGAATCACGAGAAAACGCTGAGAACTGGTTATCCGGGTCAGCATATAGGATACTTTTTACTGCGGGAAAATATCTCATCTCTGAGAAATTTCTACTAACACTTATGTATAACGTTAAAAGGGACGAACCCGAGGGGAGCGAGGAAGAGTCACTAGTTTTAATATAAAATGCATAACAGACGAATGACATTTTATCAATGTAAGTCTCATAATTTAAATTTTTAATTTGTTTATTTTGAACATTTAAATATGCAAACTAAACAAAATCAAAAATGCCTCTATTTAAATAACATTCGAAATCTACATTTTCCAGTTTTGTTCTAAATACAGATCGTATAGACATCACATAACCAAATATATATATATACTGTCCAGTCACTGGTTAACCCCTGTTCAGTGGTTAAGTTATCCCTGCTGACCCATTCAATTATAGTTCAGTATATTAGTATTTAGATTGTCTGCAGTTCTAGCAATAGTGATTCCTAAAATATTAGGAAATTGCACTAAATAACTGTTTATAAGAAATATGATGTCAGATTGTTATGTATGATATCAGATTATTATTATTTTTTTAGTAAATTTAACGATTAACGACATTTACAATGTCACTTAAAGTTCTATTCGAAACAGATTCGGTTACAAAATTGATTGATTGACAAAAAATTGGATCTGTATGAAACTCTATTTATTTAAAATACATTTAAAATATTAAAAAAATGAAGAATTTTTTATGCATGTAATAAAGTGACGTATTAGTGTTGAGACATAATTACTTCTATTAATAGTCGATATTCATTGACAAGTAATTTTGTACGTTATTACAAGTGATAAATTAAAAATTTAAAAACTTGGACCGATTTTCATCAAACATCTCAATCTCAGAACACTCCCGACTAATTCACATTTCAAACAAAAAATAAATAAAATCAAAATCGGTTCATCCGTTCGGGAGCTACGATGCCACACACAGACACACAAACAGACACGTCAAACTTTATAACACACCATAAAAGTAAAACATGAGTTTGGTACTTATATTTAAAAATATTCATTCTTTAGATATTTTACTCTACAAAATCTTTATCGATAAAATTTATTGAATGTGTTCACTTCTCGATAATGTGGTACTGACAGGTGTCACCCGCACGCTATGCTATGATGAAAATAGTCTATACATATAATAAAACTGTAACTAAGTCGAATCTGTAGAAAAACACGAGAAAACCACAGGACAGATTTTGATGAAATTTGGTATGATGATAGCTGGTTCTCCGGGTCAACATATAGGATACTTTTTACCGCGGGGCAATATATCATTTCTGAGAAAAATACAAAAACTGCATTGTAAGAGTATACTAATATGTAAAAGAAGAATTTGGTTTTTGGTCTTCTGCACGCGGGCAGAGCCGCGGGCAATGCTAGTACCATATAAAACTATAGGAGCTCTAGTTATAAACATGCACATCTCGCTAATGGAGATAACAGTTTTTGATCGAATTATTCGCAGCCGAGTGGGTAATCCAACGCCCGCGCCAGACTCCGACGCATAGCGACAGCAATTTTTTTTAAAAACATTTTAAAATCATAACTACATATGTTGGTTCTATTATAATTCGTCCGACTATTGTCGGTTTGTACGAATATTTACAACCTTTTTGTTTTCTAAAGTAAAATACGTGCGTGCAAACTACCGACCATATTTTGCGAGGATTAATGCAAAAGAAAACTGCATGAAAACTCAAAAACACCCGTTTTCTCAGACTAACTAATCTTTCACATTTATAATATTAGTAAGATTATATCAACTATCTTTAGAGAAATCATTGTGTGTCTGTTTGTTACGTGAATGCTATACCATATTGAATTGCCACAAATTTAAATAGAAACTTAGTGGGTTTATGTGTAACGTATGTTATGTGCTAATTTTATTTCGTATATGTTTGAGATATGTATCTAAGCTTTCATAGTACCGGAAATTACTTTCGATTAATATTTTTAGGCCGATATAAAAAAATACTTGTTGGCAAATATCTATCTACCCTCCTTATGCGTTTTGCACGCTCGCTACCACAACCACATCGCCATTCCGGACGATTGCTTGATCGAAAACCAAATCGAGTTACTGAGGGGTTTAACTAAGCTATAAGCTGGAATAACCCTAATAAATATTTCGTTAAATTTAACTGTTTCATAAATTAATCAAATGTAATGTTGTTAACGGTAGATACTCCGCGTTCATTTTTTCCAACACATGGAGTGACCAAATTGAATTATAAAAATTGAATGTGCGGTGTCGTTCACGACGAGTCGCGAGTGATACTATTATAAATGTCAAAAAAATAATTGAATGTTCTATGTAAATGAGAACAGTTATATGAAAAAAAAAATCACTAATTGCCTGAATTGTATTATTTCATCAGTTTAAAATATAGATCGAGGAATTTACTGAATAGAGCTTATAGGCAATCAGAAGAAACAAAGAGGGATATTCGCTTCAAAAGGGAGAACACAGTCTTGAGTGATCTCGATCAGACTAAATACTCATTGAAGTATATGTATATTATTGCTATTATAGAAAAGTAATATTGAAAACTGTACAGTTTTTCAAGTTAATATTCTTCCAAGTAACTTAGAACAATATATAATAGGTATCATAAAAATTATATCGAAAGAAATTCCAAAAAAACTTACAATTCACAGTTGTTCTATGTATAAATTTTAATAAATGCCAATTTAATTTATATATTTTCTAATCATCTCATTAACGCTATGTGCTAGTGAGATGTACGTTTTATTTCATGTGATATCATGTACTATTTTTAATCATGCCTACATGTTGTTTAGTATTCAGCCCTTTTTAACGTCCCACTGCTGGGCACGGGCCTCCCTCAATACGAGGGGAATCAGGTCATAGGTCACCACTGGCCAAGTGCGAGTTTACATTTTTTATAATGTCACATTTCATTGCGGGCGGACTTCACACGGTTCTCTCAGACATGCAGGTTTCCTCACGATGTTTTCCTTCACCAACACGTAAGGAACAGGTAATCATATCGGAAATAATTCGCACATGAAAACATCAGGGATGCGCGCATGCCTGGGATTTGGATTCTGGTTGGAAATGATTCCTATAAAAGCAACAAGAAAAATTTATTTTTCTAACAGGATTAACTAGTTATATCAAACTGAAGTGACGTTGGAATGTCAATAACGCCGCAAGCAACGATGGTTCATGGTCACCAAGTCGAACTAAAACTTTGGATACCGAGTAAATGTAGTAGGTAAATAAAAACTCACACTTGTCTTTTCTAACTTAGATTTTTTTTATTATTAGATGCAATTCGGTACCAAAAATATACAA